GGAGAACGCCTGCCAGGTCTGGGCTGGTGACGGAGTCTGTAGCCGCTGTCCCCTCGGTGGCAACCGTCGCTAGGGCGGTAGGCGGTTTGGAGTGCGGGACCTGGTTTGGGCTGATGAGTGGTCGGTGGAGCCTGGAACAGGATGGGGGCAGAGCCTCCCTCCAGGATGAGCCGCCCCGTGGACCAGTCTATCCGGGGTTTGTGGGTGACCAGTCTGGGGTGCCCGAGGACGAGGGGAAAAACGGCCGTCCAGGCCCATGACCGGAACGGCTCAGAGAGGGAGAGTAATGGAATGCTCCACCTTTGGGCCAGCCCCGCGTCCATCAGGTTTTCCGCGGCCCCAGAATCCACCAGTGCATGCACCCAATGCGCAGCACGGGCACACTGAACCCTGACGGGGAGAAAGGTCCAGGAGTCTCTGAAGTTGAGGTTTCGGTTCCGGCTCGGTAGCACCCCTCCCTATACTAGCGAGCCCTCCCGTTTCCCGGCTTCTCCGGGCATGAGTCGCAGTGGTGACCTGCCTGGCCGCAGTACAGGCAACATCCCTGGCGCTGACACCTCAGCCTCTTCATCCTGGACAAGCACGCCACACCCAGCTGCATAGCCTCCTAAGGCGTCTCCTCCCTGAATCGGCGGAAAGCCTCCGGGCTGATAGGGGGACGCGGAGGGGCGCCATCCCTCTCTCATGCGCCCTCTCACGCCGCCGATTGTTTAACCGCACCGAGAGGTCGACGAGGCCGTCCAGTCGCTCAGGCAGCTCCCTGAAGGAGAGTTCGTCCTTCTTCCCTTCCGATAGCTTCTGCGTGTAAAGGACTACCAGGGCGGCCTCCTCCCATCCTGCCTCTCGAGCCCGGGTCCCGCTACTCCACGGAGTAGTCCGCCACCGAACGGTCACCCCGTGAGCCGCCTCCCGGCCTCATGCCCCGACACCACCAAAGAGGTGTCGAACACCTTGCGTAGCTCCCGGGTGAATTGGTAGGAGTCGGAGCACGCCAGAGTTTGGCGCTCCCACTCCGCGGTAGCCCAGGAAAGGGCCCGACCCGTCAACAGAGTGATGATGTAGGCCACCCGGCCCTGCTCCGTCGGGAAGGAGGGTTGTAGGCTGAATACCTGGGAACATTGGGTGAGGAATTCCCTGCAGCCCTCTGGACGTCCGTCATACCTCTCCGGAGGTGGTAGGCGGGGTTCCTGCGATGTCGCAGGTGAGACAGGAGATGCTGCTGCCGTGGCTTCCTCTCCGCCGGCTGTCGGAGCTGGTCGGGTGTCCACCTGGCTCTGCATGGCGATCGTCAGCTGGCGGAGATTCTCGGTGATCTGCTGCAGACTGCGGTCGTGTTGGTTCAGCATAGCTCCCTGCGTTGCCAATGCGCTACGATACTGTGCTGCCTCTGCTGGGTCCATATTGGCTCAGTTTTCTGTAAGGGTTGGTGTGAGGTGTGACCCAGGTGCGGTGCAGGATAGACAGTAGGCATAGATGGTGAAACAAGGATCTTTACTGGTGGTCCCGAAGCCAGGATACAAAACAACGGACTTAACACGATAACAGAAAGGTGGAGCAAATACATCTCCAAAAACAGGCTGACAGCCAAAATATGACTGAAATAATAAAGAAACAGGGAGAACACTTCTCAAGTACCTGTACATACTTCTCTGATCAGACACTGATTAGTACTGCTGAGCATAGAGAAACTATCAGAGAAAACTGAGCAAGAGAACACAGGGAAGTGAGGGCATAAATACACAGGTGAACATGTAGACACAGGTGACACCAATAGGATCATGATTAGTCCAGACTGTGAGTGAAAAGGTGCCTAAGGTTGTCGGAGGAGCACACCTAGTGGATCGCTCCGGAACCGCGACCCCCTCCTGTAACAAGTGAAGACCATTCACATATGGAGTCATGTAGTAACCAAAAAAGTGTTAAACAAATCAAAATATATTATTTATTTGAGATTCTTCAAATAGCCACCCATTGCCTTGATGACAGCTTTGCAAACTATTGGCATTCTCTCAACCAGCTTTATGAAATAGTCACCTGGAATGCATTTCAATTAACAGGTGTGCCTTCTTAAAAGTTAATTTGTGGAATTTCTTTCCTTCTTAATGCGTTTGAGCCAATCAGTTGTGTTGAGACAAGGTAGGGGGGGGTATACAGAAGATAGCCCTATTTGGTAAAAGACCAAGTCCATATTATGGCAAGAACAGCTCAAATAAGCAAAGAGAAACGACAGTCCATCATTACTTTAAGACATGAAGGTCAGTACTATGATGAAACTGGCTCTCATGAGGACCGCAACAGGAAGAAAGACCCAGTGTTACCTCTGTTGCAGAGGATAAGTTCATTAGAGTTACCAGCCTCAGTAATTGCAGCCCAAATAAATGCTTCACAGAGTTCAAGTAACAGACACATCTCAACATCAACTGTTCAGAGGAGACTGTGTGAATCAGGCCTTCATGGTCGAATTGCTGCAAAGAAACCACTACTAAAGGACACCAATTAGAAGAAGAGACTTGCTTGGGCCAAGAAACACGAGCAATGGACATTAGACCGGTGGAAATGTGTTATGGTGTGGGGGTGCTTTGCTGGTGACACTGTCTGTGATTTATTTAGAATTCAAAGCACACTTATCCAGCATGGCTACCACAGCATTCTGCAGTGATACGCTATCCCATCTGGTTTGGGCTTAGTGGGACTATCATTTGTTTTTCAACAGGACAATGACCCAATACAGCTCCAGGCTGTGTATGGGCTATTTTAACAAGAAGGACAGTGATGGAGTGCTGCATCAGATGACCTGGCCTCCACAAACCCCCGACCTCCACCCAATTGAGATGGTTTGGGTTGAGTCGGACCGCAGAGTGGAAGGAAAAGCAGCCAACAAGTGCTCAGCATATGTGGGAACTCCTTAAAGACTGTTGGAAAAGCATTCCAGTTGAAGCTGGTTAAGAGAATGTCAAGAGTGTGCAATGCTGTCATCAAGGCAAAGGGTGGCTATTTGAAGAATCTCAAATATATTTTGATTTGTTTAACACTTGTTTGGTTACTACATGATTCCATATGTGTTATTTCATAGTTTTGATGTCTTCACTATTATTCTACAATGTAGAAAATAGTAAAAATAAAGAAAAACCCTGGAATGAGTAGGTGTGTCCAAACTTTTGACTGGTACTGTACATCACCACAGATATTGTTTATTCCAATAGCAAATGTGAATCAAATATTATCTTTGCACTTTCTGATGTAAAGCAACGCACCACATTGTTGTCTCACAAATAATTATTCATGCACTTTTGAAGTACTTTGGAAACTTTCCCCTCAGACTCACAACTTCAGGTATAAAAACACATGGCCCTGTGTAGCTCAGTTGGTAGAGCATGGCGTTTGCAACGCCAGGGTTCGTTTCCCACAGGGGGCCAGTATGAAAAAATGTATGCACTCACTAACTGTAAGTCGCTCTGGATAAGAGCGTCTGCTAAATGACTTAAATGTAAAAACACCATAAATAGTACGATTATCTGTGGAGAAACATGCTTTGAGATTCTGTACAAGAATCAGAGGGCTATTTTTCCAAGTTTTATTCCAGGGATAATTACTGACATACGGTGTAGTGAATAAACCAGTTCCCTTATAAATGAAAAGGTAATTATAAAGTGCTTATAATGTTTACAGCACTTGAACTAGAAGGGAACATTTTCTCTCTCAACTGACTAATCCAGCAGACTTTTCTTACACGACTCACAATCAGAATCGAACACTAAAAGATGGCTTTAGAAAAGCCGATGACACCATCAGAATGCAGCAATAAGAGCACAAAAATAGGCTTGAAATTGGGTTCTTTGCCTTTACTCTAAATGCAGAACAGCGATAATGCCTTTGAGTCTGACATCCTTGCATGATAGGAATATACACAGAGGCGGGCTATTCATATATACTGTAGATGGTGTGTAATATATCATATAATTCTGCTGAGAGCTTTAAGCTTTGATCGGCTGTTGAAGTCTCTAACTGTAAAAGTATTATTCAAGGACATAAAAGGAGAACAGGAGCGTTATGCTGGCGGTGACAGAGATGCATAACCACATGTAGATACACACGCACAATCTAGAATCGAATCTGACCTTTGAAGAAAATGCTAAAGCATAGTCTTATTCACAAATTGTTTTAGAAATACCTTGACTTGTCAAGTGCATTGGGTGCCTATGTAAACATCCACGTTTTTAAAGTAAGGAAACGGGGTACAAAATAAACTATGACATGCTAAATAAGGTTTGAACGGGACACACTGACCTAGCGATTGAGTGAGTGGATAAAAAAATATATAAAAAAATAAAACTTAACACTGAGTCCACTTGCGTATAAAACCTATTTCCTTCCTTTATAAAATGCTTTCTGCCCCAATCATTCCAATGCCCACATACGCCCCTTCCGAAGCGCTAATGATTAGTAAGAGTGCTGTTAGCAACAGTGTAACTGCAGAGGTGCAAAGAGACTAAAGTAATTACAGGGGAATTCAATAAGCCTTTATCCTAGTAAGAGAGATATAAAGAGAGAGAAAAGAGCAAAGCAGAGGAAGAGTGTGAAAGTGAGAGTAAAAGTGAGAGTGTAGAGGGGGTAAAGAGTTACTCACCATGGCTGAATATTGATAAGAGCTGTTAGCAGTTGTCAACAGATTTTGCTTGATTGCGTTTGGATGAGAAAACATGAAATGATGGAAAACAACTGATGCGGAGTTACTAATTACATTTGTCTGGGTAAAATATGCTGAGAGATGCAGCTGCACCTGGTGTTCAGCAATCGCTGATGTTGCTGCATTTCTTTCATTCTTTGAGTAAAGCTACAGTATGACTTTGAATGGCTGGTTGTAAAGGGATATGAACGCATTCTAGTGGAGCGTCAGATAGGACCATGCCCTGAAACACATGCCTCCAAATCAACACTGGGTAGAGAATGAAAGAGGTGGGGGGAATTCAGTGCAATCTATGCATTCACAGTGCTTGCTTTTAAGTTTTCCTATCAATTTTCAGTTGGCAGTAGTTGGCACTCTGATTGACACACCCTGTCCACCACAGCTCGGGCCCCTGGTTCCAAGCCCGTCCCTGGTCCCCAAACACCAGTACCTGCTCTCCCTCTGTGAAGACCCTTCGGCCAAAGCTCCAGGTGATGGTTGGGGTGGGGTCTCCAGAGGCCTCGCAGGTCAGGGTGATCTGCTCCTCCAGCTCTGATGCAGTCTGGTTGACCAGGTAGGTGATCTTGGGTTGCACTAGAGAAAAAGGCAAAAATACAATTAATTGATGGATGCCAATGGAATATACACTGAGTGTACAAAACATTAGGAACACCTGCTCTTTCCATGACATAGACCGACCAGGTGAAAGCTATGAGCCCTTATTGATGTCACTGGTTAAATCCACATCAAATCAGTGTAGTTGAAGGGGAGGAGACAGGTTAAATAATGATTTTTAAGCCTTGAGACAAATAAGACATTGATTGTGTTTGTGTGCCATTCAGAGGGTGAATGGGCAATACAAAATATTTAAGTGCCTTTGAACGGGGTATGGTAGTAGGTGCCAGGCGCACCGATTTGAGTGTGTCAAGAACTACAACGCTGCTGGGTTTTTCACGCTGAACAGTTTCCTGTGTGTATCAAGAATGGTCTACCACCCAATAGGACATCCAGCCAACTTGACACAACTGTGGGAAGCATTGGAGTCAACATGGGCCAGCATCCCTGTGGAACGCTTTTGACACCTTGTAGAGTCCATGCCCAATGAATTGAGGCTGTTCTGAGGGGAAAAGGGGGTGCAACTCAATATTAGGAAGGTGTTCCTAATGTTTTGTGTATTGCTTGTATGCACATTGCTATAGTAAAAACAAGAAAAACATTTCAAAAGCTCAGGGTTTTAGGACATCCAGACATCTTGACACAACTGTGGGAAGCATTGGAGTCTACATGAAAAACATTTCAAAAGCACAAAAACGCAACGTTCTTTTACTACAGTTAATGGGAATCATTTTGCTCTTACCGAACACATTCAAGCTGACTTCCTCCTCTTTCTCCCCAGCCTTGTTCCGGGCGATGCATGTGTAATCTCCTTCATCCACTTTCTTGACCTCCTTTATTATCAGCTCCGAGCCGTCGTCATTCAGGCTGTATTTATCGTCCGATTCAAGGACAATGTTGTTACTGAGGGGGGAGAGGCAGAAACACAGAGTTCACAACAACATGAAGCTAAAAATAGTCCTCTTCAGTCTGTGACTATGATCTGTTTGGGGGCTTTATCTCAAAGTTGAGCGGTTGGTAAACAAAAGGCTTGTCTCAGAACCGTAAGTCTTTAAAGCGTCGGACCAAATATCCACGTCAGAAATCGTACACAAAGCTTTTCCTCTTTCTTTCTCTGGCTCTGCTCTGTACCATAGCTATATCATTGTCACACCCTGATCTGTTTCACCTGTCTTTGTGTTTGTCTCCATCCCCCTCCAGGTGTCGCCCATCTTCCCCATTATCCCCTGTGTATTTATACCTGTGTTCTGTGTTTGTCTGTTGCCAGTTCGTCTTGTCTCGTCAAGCCTACCAGCGGTTTTCCCGTACTCCTGTTTTGCTCTAGCCCCTGGTTTTCCTGGTTTTAACCATTCTGCCTGCCCCTACCCTGAGCCTGCCTACCGTTTCTGTACCTTTCGGACTCTGCTCTGGATTACTGACCTCTGCCTGCCCTTGACCTGTCGTTTACCTGCCCCCTGTTTTTGTAAATAAACTTTTGCTATTTCGAACTGTCTGCATCTGGGTCTTACCCTGAGTCGTGATAATCATGGCTGTTTTACAAAGGGACTACATCCATAGGATGGTGATACACTGTATGATGTTAAGTTATTTATTTTTTAAGGAATGTTTTCGGCACTCTTGAATGAGCACTCTTTGAACCGCGACATGCCTGAGCTTTCCTTGAACTCTAAATCAGACATGCATACACTGGGTTTGGACTGCAGTCCCTCATCTGTATGCTTGTAGGAGCTTCAATCCTGAAGAGTTCTCCAAGGGATACCAAATGACAGGCCTATCAGCGGCCCAGGAAATAAATTACAAATGGTGGGAGCTGCTGGCCCCCCTCCTTCCCCCTCCTGACACCCTACCCCGCTTGTCTCCTTCCTCCTCCGGCGAGGCCAAGCCCTGATCGGATGTGTCTCCTCATCCTCCTATCCTTCTCATTAATTTACACTCCAAGAGGAGCTAGAGAAGCAGTACAGTAACTCTGTAATGTTGGAATTGTTGTCACACTATACTAGAGGGCCCGTTGTGTCAACAACAGCTATGCTGAGGATAGATCAAACAAGAGAGCTTTGGCCATCTTCAAGGAACTAGATAAATGGAATTCATACTGTTGACCCATTTCCTCTTTTATCATGAGAATGTTTACCTTTTGTTTACAAAAATATATACATATTCACTTTGATCTCCCCAACCAGCTACAACAAGCCACTTTGTTTACGCTCATGAAAGACAAGATGGTTGGTGTGACTTACCGGGCCCAGGTGACTGTGGGTTCAGGGAAGCCGTCAGCATCACAGGCCAGCATCACAGACTGGTTGATGTCCGCCGTGGCATTCACCTCCGACTGCCTGGTGCGGATGCTAGGGAGCACTGAAACACAGACATACAAGCATTATTCAAAGATACAGAGGTCATACTTGAGTAGGAAATTAATTATACTAAGATGATACTAAGATAATAAGACATTGTAAGGGTGTTATATGCTTCAAACAAGTCTTTAAATGGTTTATAATTAGATAATGATGCACTATACTGGTTGGCTTTAAGGATGATAGGAGTAAATAAATGTTACTGTAAGCTTGTTACAGGCTTGTTTTTGTTTTTTACTCTGTAATGGTGTTCATAATAGCACAGTATTGGATCTATAACTATACTATATTCTAAGTGTGCTCAGATCCAAATCCCAGGGTGAGAGCATAGGCGGAAAAATAGTGGGTAGGGTGAGAGGGAGGATGTGGTACTCACCGTTGATGATGACCTTGATGATCTTCAGGTCAATCTCTCCCCTGGCCATAACACGAGCCTCACAGGTGTACGCCCCTTCATCCGTTTTCTTGATGCCTCGGATCTGGAGATGGTTGTTGCCCATGATCTTAAATCGAACTGTGAACAACCGCAAGAAAAGGAAACAGAGAAGGCTCAATCGTCATTAACAGTGGGTAGTGTAGGTTTAACACAAGGCAACATGGGAAACCACACATACAATGCGACTTAGGAGGCATGGTCTGAGTTACAGAGGAATGCTGCATTTGCCCACTCCCAGCAGCAATATTACAATGTAAAAATAGTCATGAGTTATACATAGGTGTGGAGAGAAGATGATTTTTAGAACCACATGATACGGTAAATAACTCGCCACCAGAAAAAGATTGATCTGTCATATTAGTGACATATAGACTCATCAAAAAAAAAGCTCCACCATCCATCCACTGGAATAATGTTAATTTACATATGTTCAATGTTTCAATGTTTATTTAGAAAAATAAGTGCTGTACTATTCACCGTGAGATTTGGTTACATTGCTCAACAGAGCATTGTCATGGCATGATGCCTCTTATTCTATATCCTTTATATCTATACTGTAGTAAATGTGGTAAAACATGGACCATGTAAACATACAGATGCTGAAAGCAACTACTACTACTTCTTGAATTGTGTTGTCAAAGCTCTACTATGTAAATATTCTATGAATCCTCTTTACTCTTTAAGTTCAAACATCTGGCAGCCAGCGTAGAAATATTGGCAACTGTGTTAAGTCAACCCTCTTTTGAAGCGGTGCCAGACGTAGATCTGGTTTAGTGAATGTGTATTTGGGCAAAAGCTTTGAATTCATTAACCAGACTTTTTAAATAGCTCTCTCTGAGCTGTGAAACACATATTAGCATGAAAAAGAAGTGTACTTTGAGCTATAAGCACATGCAGCTTTGATATGGAAAAGTTAACTGGAGCAATGTGGAAAATGGTATTTACATAAGCAGTATGGGTTTCAGTCTGGGCTACAATTAGTGGTTTTCTAGTGAAAAACACATCCCTGTCCAGGGTCCAAGAAAACGCCACACACCAGAGCGCTGTGGTCACCCTGAGCTTCCCAGTGGTCGCCAGAGGGAGGGGTCTTCTAAGGTTAGAATAGTGCAGTCAGGAGAAAAACAAAATCGTTCAGAATGCCTCTCTGACAGCATCCCACTCAACTTGACTAAATCATCTAAATATGAAGCCTTTAAATATCCTTTCACAACTGATCAAGAAATATCCTGTTTCCTGTCCTCACTTCATCCATTATGTCGAAACACTCAAATTACCAAAAGGCTGGGCTGTGTTCTTAGGGAGAGAGCGAATGAGTGGGGGGTGAATAAAAAAAAGTAGGCATATATGATGAAAGCAAACAAAAAAACAGGGAAAGGGGGGTGAGCTGCACGACTCGGGGTAGTAGGCAACCACACATTGGCACATCAATTTGTGTACAAGCCTTACCGTCTTTTGTAACCTGGATCTTTGCGCCTTTGTGCTTCCAGATGATGGTGGCGGGAGGCGAGCTGACGACATCACAGATGATGTCAGCGTCATCCCCTTCATTAAACTCCTGTGGGGAAGGGGCGTTCTTGAAGGTTATCTTTTCTGTATGGGAGAAGAATAGAAGTCCACTGTCAATTGCATTTCCTGAACCAGTCAACAAACTTAATAGACCAACATGTGCTATGGCAAGTGCTTTCTTTGTTACCCAGTCTATGCATTTGTCGTGGCATTCCAACTGTTCATGATGGAACATACTATACAGTTAGTATTATTGTATATTCTGTATATGCGGGTTCTCTAAATTAAGATAAATAGATGGATACCATTACAATGATACTAGGGCGAAGATACAATCAACAATACTGTATGTAGGAGGACAATTGAAGTAAACAAATATGCACAAAATATGCACAGACACTTTTTAAAATTACATTCTTCAAAATTACATTGTGCACGCCACAAATATGTACAGATAATACAGTGAAGTGATATCATTTGGTGGTAATCCACTAAATTACAATGAATAATATCAACACTTTTCAAGGAGTTTGAGTTTAAGAGGGAACTTACGGAAGATTTTCACATTGACAGTGCCCTGAGACTCCTTGTCTCCATTTTTGGCCACACACTTGTAGACTCCGGCATTGTCCACATCAGCATTGTAGATAGTGAGGGTGGACGAGGACTCGTCGTTGCGGTTCACAATGATGTCCTGTCTGTTCGGTAAGAGCTTCTCACCGTTCGGGGCATACCAATCAATGTCCTTTGCGTCTCCGACAACTGAGGGATGAATAGAGGCAGGGTGGATGTGTGAGCAGAGTGCGAATGCACTGTTTATGTGTCTTCAGCAGTTTATATAAATGATACCCAAGCAGAGAAATATGTCCTGCCTTGCGAGATGATGCTGCGTCTGAGGTATGCATTATAGCTTTTTTTCGCCAAGGTTAACGGGTTTCTCTACTTAGCAAAACAGCATCCATCCTAACGCTGTATATGTCACCTTTGCAAGCTGAAAATATGTCATGAACATGAGATAAAACCTAAAAGTATATAATGTAGGCATAATTCCACAACATCTCATCCTTATCATTCTCAACAAAGATGTGAATATCCTGACAAACAAGCAACATCTTTTCGTTATAAATTGACTAATACTAGACCAGTATTCCCTAGGGCTACCTGCTTCAAGGAATGTGAAATCCATCTTCATATCAATATGCACAAAAAGAGAACTCTTTTACATATTTGCTCAGATGATGTACTACCTGAAAAAAGACTGAAATGAAAACTCCACCATTTATATTTTGAAAGAAGGGCAAAGCCAAGTTTTCTGGAATCTTTCACTCCCTCATTCGTAATGGAATAAACAGTATATTGCTGACATCTTACTGCAAAAAAATGACACAGCTATCTACAGTTATTTTCATTCAAAGGAAACGTTAAAGTGAAATGTTTTCATCTTCCTTCCATGACATATTGAGCCTCTCTTTTCTTTGCTATTCAACAACAGGATGCTGACCTGCAGCAGTCTGCCAGTAGTGGGGGGTAACTGACCACAGTTGCAGGTTAGCATCCCAGGAAACCCATGCTACTGCAGCCATGAGAACTGCTGTAGCACCTGCACTTTATTTAGAGTTATATTCTATATCAAGCTGTCAAAATACTGTAGCTATTTGGGAGTTTGCTGTTGTGGAGGCGATGGTATCTGTACCACACCTACCTTCGCAGAGGAAGAATTTGGACTCCCCGACGCTGATCTCTCCTTGCATCGGTGTGATCTCCACCTGCAGGGAGGCTAGAAGAGAAAAACACAGAGAAAGCAGGTCTCAGAACAGTTCAAGTCAAACTATGCATTTGTATGCATTTGTACATAGTCCCAATACACTTTACATACAGCAGGTCCTATAACAGGTGTGACCAAGGGGAGAGGGACTATGACAGGATGACACAGCGGCAAAGCACAGTGAGGCAAGGCACGGCACACTGAAATGCATCAACAGCTTGACTGAACATCTGCTGCTGATCAACCTAAGATGAGCTGTTTCCCACCTTTCACTTTTCAATATGATGCTGCATCTATGCCGATAATTGGATTCAGTTAACAAATAAGCATTTTATTGTTTGCAGCCTCATTTTAGTAAAAGCACAGTCACTAAAACAAAGTGGCGCAGACATAGTCGTAGAGTTGGTATGCCAAGTCAACAAATGAAAAAATGTCTCACCCAACATTCTCACATCGTAGACGTATAGGCCACAGTAGCATGTATTTAGATAACAATGTGTTAATTGCCGGAGATCTGGCAAGGTCTCAGCATTGCTAATGCAGTAGGCAGCTCCCATCGGCTTTAGTGGGATTGTTAGTGAGGTTGGGATGATGGTAGGGGTGTGCGGGTAACATAATGAAATGTGGTGGAACAACCCGTAGCCATGGCAACCACAATTACTGTCAAATCCACTTATTGAAAAACCTCTGTGTTGGATAGGCAGATTCTCTGACTAAATATGACAATTAGGCCCTGGCACTATCAAAAAGGACCATGAATTATATGCCTCTCGCAAACTTATTTTAGACTTACAATTACCCTGGTGTCCGGCGAGTCGATAAGATTTTATAATGGCACGTAAAGCCTACATTTTCCCTAGATACTAATGAAAGCCACCTGACCGAGCTATCCCTGTGTTCTCTCTATTTTTTCATCTTTCACAGAGTGTCCACTAAGGAAGTGTAATGCCATAAATCAAAGCATATTAGCTTCCTGAGATGCTGCCGAATACATTTTATATTTCTGCATCAGCTAAAGCGGGTGACAGAGATGAGATTTAGAATGTATCGGAGAGAAGCAGCTGGTGTTTGTTCTCTTCTGCTCTGCTGGATAAATTAAAGAGGAATCAACTCCCAACTGAGAGACAGGAGAGATATACTCCAAAGTTCCGGGACAGCATACCTTAAAGATTTACATCTTCTTAACGCAAGGTGTGCCGGGACGACGGCAGAGGAATCTTTCTTCAAAATTCTCTGATGTGGCCTATTTTAACACTTTTCTCTTACCAAATTAGGTCTGGCACTCTCTCTGCCATGATCTGTGCCTCAAGAGCAGGGGTAAAAGTAGGCAGGTACAATCCGGTACGGCATCGTGGCAAAATAAATAGTGGGAGCCCGCCATACCGGTAAAACGTGAGCCTATAACAATAACACAAAATGCCAAAAAAAATATTATTTATTACCGAATGTCAGCTACATGAAAAATTTGACTTGAAAACGGGTGGTATACGCTCCAAATTGCATTGTGGTTTGACAAGAATAATTTGTATATTTTTTTTATTATTATTATTATTATTTTTTTTTAGGTGGTAGAACAGCTTTAATAGTGCAGATAGATTGTAGCTTCCATCAATGTAATTGTCTCCATAATTTCCAATCCCCCATATATATACACTACCGATCAAAAGTTTGGACACACCTACTCATTCAAGGGTTTTTCTTTATTTTTACTATTTTTTACATTGTAGAATAATAGTGAAGACATTAAAACTATGAAATAACACATATGGAATCATGTAGTAACCAAAAAAGTGTTAAACAAATCAAAACATATTTTATATTTGAGATTCTTCAAATAGCCACCCTTTGCCTTGATGACAGCCTTGCACACTCTTGAGTGTGCAAAGCTTTGTCACACCAGCCTTCACTTTGGCTCCCCCTCCTGTCCATCTCAGGCGTTCGGCGTCGCCGGCCTTCTAGCTACTGCCGAACCTACTGCTGGCAAATGCCCTTCAGTCATCAACCCCGTACTTGTCTCGTCATCATTACACACACCTGCTTTCAATCCCCACTCTATCACTGTATACAGTTGAAGTCGGAAGTTTACATACACTTAGGTTGGAGTCATTAAAACTCGTTTTTCAACCACTCCACAAATGTCTTGTTAACGAACTATAGTTTTGGCAAGTCGGTTAGGACATCTACTTTGTGCATGACACAAGTAATTTTTCCAACAAATGTTTACAGACAGATTATTTCACTTATAATTCACTGTATCACAATTCCAGTGGGTCAGAGGTTCACATACACTAAGTTGACTGTGCCTTTAAACAGTTTGGAAAATTCCAGAAAGTGATGTCATGGCTTTAGAAGCTTCTGATAGGCTAATTTACATAATTTGAGTCAATTGGAGGTGTACCTGTGGATGTATTTCAAGGCCTACCTTCAAACTCAGTGCCTATTTGCTTTGTAGACCTCCACAAGTCTGGTTCATCCTTGGGAGCAATTTCTAAATGCCTGAAGGTACCACGTTCATCTGTACAAACAATAGTATGCAAGTATAAACAATATGGGACCACGCAGCTGTCATACCGCTCAGGAAGGAGAAGCGTTCTGTCTCCTAGAGATGAACGTACTTTGGTGTGAAAAGTGCAAATCAATCCCAGAACAACAGCAAAGGACCTTGTGAAGATGCTGGAGGAAACAGGTACAAAAGTATCTATATCCACAGTAAAACGAGTCCTATATCGACATAACCTGAAAGGCCGCTCAGCAAGGAAGAAGCCACTGCTCCAAAACTGCCATAAAAAAGCCAGACTACGGTTTGCAACTGCACATGGAGACAAAGATCGTACTTTTTGGAGAAATGTCCTCTGGTCTGATGAAACAAAAATAGAACTGTTTGGCCATAATGACCATCGTTATATTTGGAGGAAAAAGGGGGAACTTGCAAGCCGAAGAACACCATCCCAACCGTGAAGCACGGGGGTGGCAGCATCATGCTGTCGGTGTGCTTTGCTGCAGGAGGGCCTGGTGCACTTCACAAAATAGATGGCACCATGAGGAAGGACAATTATGTGGATATATTGAAGCAACATCTCAAGACATCAGTCAGGAAGCTAAAGCTTGGTCGCAAATGGGTCTTCCAAATGGACAATGACCCCAAGCATACTTCCAAAGTTGTGGCAAAATGGCTTAAGGACAACAAAGTCAAGGTATTGGACTGGCCATCACAAACCCCTGATCTCAATCCTATAGAAAATCTGTGGGCAGAACTGAAAAAGCGTGTGCGAGCAAGGAGGCCTACAAACCTGACTCAGTTACACCAGCTCTGTCAGGAGGAATGGGCCAAAATGTATTGTGGGAAGCTTGTGGAAGGCTACCCGAAACATTTGACCCAAGTTAAACAATTTAAAGGCAATGCTACCAAATACTAATTGAGTGAATGTAAACTTCTGACCCACTGGGAATGTGATGAAATAAATAAAAGCTGAAATAAATAATTCTCTCTACTATTATTCTGACATTTCACATTCTTAAAATAAAGTGGTGATCCTAACTGACCTAAGACAGGGAATTTTTACTAGGATTAAATGTCAGGAATTGTGAAAAACTGAGTTTAAATGTATTTGGCTAAGGTGTATGTAAACTTCCGACTTCAAATGTATATACTCCCTCTGCCATTTGTCTTTGTAGGCCATTGTAAATGTTACTTGTTTTCCTGAGAGGAATCTCTCCTACTATTTCCTGTACCTTTTTGTTTATGAAGATATATTTTGAGCACAACAGCGTTTGGGTTTCGTCCCACTTTGATCTATGGTGCTTAAATAAATTCAGTAGTTCTAAACCTGCGACTGTCTCCTGCCTACTCCTCTCTACACCAGTGACAGAATGACTGACCCAAGAAAACAGGAAGCAGCAGGACATCCTGACCTCTCTGCTGTAGGAGCGAAGCTCTGCCACCACGACACGTGCCTTGAGCACCTCGGGACTGCCATGGACGAGGTGCTCCAGGCCGTACGCCAACTGCAGGCTACACAACCACCTTCCCAGCTCCCCGTGGTCATTCCAGCCACCCCACCACCATCTACATCACCCGGTCTGATCAACAACGTCCACCTGCCCCTCCCGGAGCGGTTTGACAGCACCCCAGCTCACTATAGGGGGTTTCTCCTGCAGTGTGACCTCCACCTTGCCTGTCATGCCGGGCTCTGGAGTGGGCGCATGCCGTCTGGGTGAGGTATGGTCCAGAAATGCAGTCCTATGAGCGCTTCACCCAACTCTTCCGTGCCGTCTTCGTCCACCCAACAGAGGGCCGAGAGGGAGGTGAGCGTCTCCTCCGTCTACGCCAGGGGTCCAGGACAGCGTCGGAGCACGCTCTGGATTTCCGGACGGTGGCTGCGTCCACTGGCTGGAATGACCAGGCCCTGTTGACGGTTTTCCACAGTGCGCTATAGGCGGACGTACAGACCGAGCTGGCCTGTCGCGATGAGGACCTCACGCTGGACCAGCTCATCGCCATCGCCATCCGCCTGGATAATCTCCTGCGTGCCCGTCGTCGCCCATCCCGGGGGTTCGAGTCTCTCCCAGGAACCTCCAGCGAGACTGAGCCCATGGAGGTGGGCACGACGCACCTTCCCCCTGCGGAACATCAACGCGGCCACCAACAGGGTCTCTGCTCCTACTGCTGGGAGTCGGACCACCCCTGGAACCCCTGTCCCAGAAGGAGCACCAGGCGAGGAAGCGACAGGCCGAGGAGCGCTCCTACACCTTCCCAGGTAGGCGTGGACGTGCCTTGCTCCTCTCTGTCCACCCAGCCCGTCCTCCTCCCTGTCACCTTCCCTGACTATCCTGGTCCCGCACTGAGTCCTGCCCTAGTGAACTTAGGTGCTGCAGGCAATTTCCTAGACCGTTCAGTGGCCTTATCATTACGCATTCTTCTAGTCCCTTTACAACCCCATATCCCAGTCAATGCCCTAGACAACCGTCCCCCAGGAACAGGACTGGTGCGCCAGACCACGATTCCCATTTCCCTCACAGTTAATCACAACCACCATGAACGCATCACTTTCCTCATCTTAGGCTCTCCTGCACACCCCATAGTTTTAGGTTTCCCCTGGCTACAGTTGCATAACCCCAGTATATCGTGGACAGAGAGGAGGTTGTTGGGTTGGTCACAGGAGTGTCAGGGGAGGTGTCTCTCTGTGTCAATCTGTGCCACCGCCGTGGAAAGTTCGGACCAGGTCACCCACGTCCCTATCCCGGAGGAATACTGGGACCTACAGGTGGCCTTTTCGAAGACTCGTGCCACATGCCTGCCCCCACATCTAACCCTTCCTGGGCTATTGGATATCCACCACATGAGTGGAGAAGGAAGAGCAGAAGGTCAGTTCAGTACGGTCGTGGCCTGTTCCATCCAACATCAAGGCGGTGCAGCGCTTCCTTGGTTTTGCCAACTATTTTAGGCGCTTCATTAGGGGTTTCAGCACAGTGGTGGCCCCTCTCAACTCCCTCCTGAAGGTAGGTCCTCGACAGCTGCGCTGGGCTGGGGAGGCCAAAAAAGCCTTCCATGCACTCAAGGAACGTTTTACTAACGTAGCTGTTCTGGCTCACCCTAACCCGTCTCTGCCCTTCATCGTGGAGGTGGATGCCTCCGAGGTTAGAGTAGGGACTGTTCTCTCCCAACGCATTGGATCGCCGCCTAATCTCCATCCATGCCCCTTCTACTCACGGAAGCTGTCTCCCGCGGAGCGGAATTACAACGTGGGGGATCGTGAGTTGTTGGCCGTAAAGAAGGCACTGAAAGCATGGTGGCACTGGCTGGACTTGTCTGGACGGACCCCCAGAACATGGAGTACATTCGAGCAGCGAAGAGGATGGACCCGCGTCAGGCCAGGTGGGCCCTATTCTTCACCAGGTTTGACTTTACCCTCTCCTACCGGCCGGGATCAAAGAACGTTAAGGCCGATGTGTTGTCCCGGGTGCATGACACAGAGGATCGGAGGGAGAAAGTGACACCCATTATTCCCCTGTCCCACATTGTGGCTCCTGTCGTGTGGAATGTGGACGCGGACATCTGTTGAGCCCTGCGACAGGAGCCCTCACCTGCCCACTGTCCCGAAGGGACGTATCTACGTGCCCTCTGTGCGGCACCGTCTCCTCGCCTGGGCACACACAGCACCTGTGTCGGGGCACCCGGGTATAGCCTGTACTATCGACTGTCTCTCCGCCAAGTACTGGTGGCCCATCTTGGCCCGGGACGTCCGGGTTTACGTCTCTTCCTACTCCATCTGTGCACAGAGCAAGACACCTAGACACCTCCCCTATGGCAAACATCACCCGCTGCCAGTTCCACAACGACCCTGGTCCCATCTCTGTGACTTTGTCACAGACCTTCCCCCCTAGGAGGGGCACACCACCATCCTGGTCGTTGTGGACCGGTTTTCCAAAACCTGTTGTTTGATTCCTCTGCCTGGTCTCCCTACGGCCATGCAGACCGCGGAGGCTCTCTTCTCTCACATCTTCCGGCACTACGGGATCCCTGAGGACATTGTGTCTGACCGTGGTCCTCCGTTCACCTCCCGTGTCTGGAAGGCCTTCATGGAACGACTGGGGGTCACAGTCAGCCTCACCTCTGAGTACCGTCCCCAATCTCATGGGCAGGTGGAAAGGGAAAATCAGGAACTGGGTAGGTACCTTCATAGTTACTGTCAGGATCGGCCGGGGGAGTGGGCTTTATTTCTGCCTTAGGCAGAATAAGCACAAAACTCCCTCCGTCACTCCTCCACTAACCTCACACCCTTTCAGTGTGTTCTAGGCTATCAGCCGGTCCTGGCACCAGAGTCAGATCGAGGCTCCTGCGGTGGATGATTGGTTCCGGCGCGCCAAGGAGGTATGGAACACAGCGCACACCTGTCTCCAGCGCGTCGTCCTCCGGCAGAAGGCGCAGGCCGATCGTCACCGCAGTGTGGCCCCGGTTTTTCACTCCGGTGACAGGGTCTGGCTTTCTACGAAGGACCTGCTCCTCCGCCTGCCCTGCCGGAAGCTGAGCCCACGGTTTGTGGGGCCGTTCAAAGTCCTGAAGAGAGTCAATGAGGTGACGTACAGATTACAGCTCCACGTCAATTACCGTATATCACCCTCATTTCATGTATCTCTCCTCAGGCCAGTGGCAGCTGGTCCCTTGGCAAGTGTTGGACCCCATGACGCACCTCCCCCTCCCTTGGACGTTGAGAGGGCAATTTTTGCTAAAAGTATTATTATGTCATTGATCAATTGACTATGACTTTTCAAATCACCCAGTAGTGCCATCTGCAGGGTTAGCTCCAGGTAAATGTTACACTTCTTCAACCATTCCTGGACCTGCGACCAAAAACAAGTTACATATGGACAGTTCCAAAACAAATGATCTAATGATTCTGTCTCTTTGCAGCAAAATCTGCAGAGCTGGGATGGTGGTATCCCCCATAAAGTGGGGGGAAAAAGTATTTAGTCAGCCACCAATTGTGCAAGTTCTCCCACTTAAAAAGATGAGAGAGGCCTGTAATTTTCATCATAGGTGCATGTCAACTATGAGAGACAAATTGAGATTTTTTTTCTCTAGAAAATCACATTGTAGGATTTTTAATGAATTTATTTGCAAATTATGGTGGAAAATAAGTATTTGGTCACCTACAAACAAGCAAGATTTCTGGCTCTCACAGACCTGTAACTTCTTCTTTAAGAGGCTCCTCTGTCCTCCACTCGTTACCTGTATTAATGGCACCTGTTTGAACTTGTTATCAGTATAAAAGACACCTGTCCACAACCTCAAACAGTCACACTCCAAACTCCACTATGGCCAAGACTAAAGAGCTGTCAAAGGACACCAGAAACAAAATTGTAGACCTGCACCAGGCTGGGAAGACTGAATCTGCAATAGGTAAGCAGCTTGGTTTGAAGAAATCAACTGTGGGAGCAATTATTAGGAAATGGAAGACATACAAGACCACTGATAATCTCCCTCGATCTGGGGCTCCACGCAAGATCTCACCCCGTGGGGTCAAAATGATCACAAGAACGGTGAGCAAAAATCCCAGAACCACACGGGGGGACCTAGTGAATGACCTGCAGAGAGCTGGGACCAAAGTAACAAAGCCTACCATCAGTAACACACTACGCCGCCAGGGACTCAAATCCTGCAGTGCCAGACGTGTCCCCCTGTTTAAGCCAGTACATGTCCAGGCCAGTCTGAAGTTTGCTAGAGTGCATTTGGATGATCCAGAAGAGGATTGGGAGAATGTCATATGGTCAGATGAAACCAAAATAGAACTTTTTGGTAAAAACTCAACTCGTCGTGTTTGGAGGACAAAGAATGCTGAGTTGCATCCAAAGAACACCATACCTACTGTGAAACATGGGGGTGGAAACATCATGCTTTGGGGCTGTTTTTCTGCAAAGGGACCAGGACGACTGATCCGTGTAAAGGAAAGAATGAATGGGGCCATGTATCGTGAGATTTTGAGTGAAAACCTCCTTCCATCAGCAAGGGCATTGAAGATGAAACGTGGCTGGGTCTTTCAGCATGACAATGATCCCAAACACACCGCCCGGGCAACGAAGGAGTGGCTTCGTAAGAAGCATTTCAAGGTCCTGGAGTGGCCTAGCCAGTCTCCAGATCTCAACCCCATAGAAAATCTTTGGAGGGAGTTGAAAGTCTGTGTTGCCCAGCGACAGCCCCAAAACATCACTGCTCTAGAGGAGATCTGCATGGAGGAATGGGCCAAAATACCAGCAACAGTGTGTGAAAACCTTGTGAAGACTTACAGAAAATGTTTGACCTGTGTCATTGCCAACAAAGGGTATATAACAAAGTATTGAGAAACTTTTGTTATTGACCAAATACTTATTTTCCACCATAATTTGCAAATAAATTCATAAAAAATCCTACAATGTGATTTTCTGGATTTTTTTTCTCATTTTGTCTGTCATAGTTGACGTGTACCTATGATGAAAATTACAGGCCTCTCTCATCTTTTTAAGTGGGAGAACATGCACAATTGGTGGCTGACTAAATACTTTTTTCCCCACTGTATACACTGCTCAAAAAAATAAAGGGAACACTTAAACAACACATCCTAGATCTAAATGAATGAAATACTCTTATTAAATACTTTTTTCTTTACATAGTTAAATATGCTGACAACAAAATCACACAAAAACTATCAATGGAAATCAAATTTATCAACGCATGGAGGTCTGGATTTGGAGACACCCTCAAAATTAAAGTGGAAAACCACACTACAGGCTGATCCAACTTTGATGTAATGTCCTTAAAACAAGTCAAAATGAGGCTCAGTAGTGTGTGTGGCCTCCACTTGCCTGTATGACCTCCCTACAACGCCTGGGCATGCTCCTGATGAGGTGGCGGATGGTCTCCTGAGGGATCTACTCCCAGACCTGAACTAAAGCATCCGCCAACTCCTGGACAGTCTGTGGTGCAACGTGGCGTTGGTGGATGGAGCGAGACATGATGTCCCAGATGTGCTCAATTGGATTCAGGTCTGGGGAACGGGCGGGCCAGTCCATAGCATCAATGCCTTCCTCTTGCAGGAACTGCTGACACCCTCCAGCCACATGAGGTCTGGCATTGTCTTGAATTAGGAGGAACCCAGGGCCAACCGCACCAGCATATGGTCTCACAAGGGTTCTGAGGATCTCATCTCGGTACCTAATGGCAGTCAGGCTACCTCTGGCGAGCACATGGAGGGCTGTGCGGCCCTCCAAAGAAATGCCACCCCACACCATGACTGACCCACCGCCAAACCGGTCATGCTGGAGGATGTTGCAGGCAGCAGAACGTTGTCCACGGCGTCTCCAGACTCTGTCACGTCTGTCACATGTGCTCAGTGTGAACCTGCTTTCATCTGTGAAGAGCACAGGGCGCCAGTGGCGAATTTGCCAATCTTGGTGTTCTCTGGCAAATGCCAAACGTCCTGCACGGTGTTGGGCTGTAAGCACAACCCCCACCTGTGGATGTCGGGCCCTCATACCACCCTCATGGAGTCTGTTTCTGACCGTTTGAGCAGACACATGCACATTTGTGGCCTGCTTTAGGTCATTTTGCAGGGCTCTGGCAGTGCTCCTGCTCCTCCTTGCACAAAGGCGGAGGTATCAGTCCTGCTGCTGGGTTGTTGCCCTCCTACGGCCTCCTCCACGTCTCCTGATGTACTGGCCTGTCTCCTGGTAGCGCCTCCATGCTCTGGACACTACGCTGACAGACACAGCAAACCTTCTTGCCACAGCTCGCATTGATGTGCCATCCTGGATGAGCTGCACTACCTGAGCCACTTGTGTGGGTTGTAGACTCCGTCTCATGCTACCACTAGAGTGAAAGCAACGCCAGCATTCAAAAGTGACCAAAACATCAGACAGGAAGCATAGGAACTGAGAAGTGGTCTGTGGTCACCACCTGCAGAACCACTTCTTTATTGGGGGTATCTTGCTAATTGCCTATAATTTCCACCTGTTGTTTATTCCATTTGCACAACAGCATGTGACATTTATTCTCAATCAGTGTTGCTTCCTAAGTGGACAGTTTGATTTCACAGAAGTGTGATTGACTTGGAGTTACATTGTGTTGTTTAAGTGTTCCCTTTATTTTTTCGAGCAGTGTATATAACATTCTATTGGTTGCAAGAATTTTGTATAATCATTTAAATTGACAAATTCTTAAGTTTTGAAACTGGTGTTTAGCGTATCAGTTCAAAAACCATGTGCCATGGAATCGGTACATTGGAAATCTCTTCCCAACTATTTTGCAATCTATATCACACAGCTGTCAATTTTTTGGTCCTAAATGAAACTGGTATACTTTATTATTTATCACAATTTTCTTTAACCAATTTTGGTCTTGATTGCAGGGCCGACAGACAAGTTCCTTACTTTTTCTCCCTTCCACTTGCCTCTTCCATTTTTGTGGTAATGCAGCAATTCGTTGGTTGTAATTTTGGGTAGAGCAGACATTTCCATATATTGTTGTTAGCTGCATGTGTGACATAACCCCACCGGTCCTACTTATGATATCATTTACAAAGATTAAACCTTTCAATTCTTTAAAATCAATTAGTATATTTGAGTTTAACCACAATATTAGTTGTATTATTTGCTCTGTCTTTTCTGGTGGATTAAACTGAAATGTATGGCCTTTATGGTGGGGGATTCGTATGACATTGCCAGTAGTAAGATTTGAGTTTGATTTTCAAAATGACAAGGGCTGTAGCTTTCAAATGATGAGTCACTTTCTATTTTCTGACACCATTAAAATTAGGGTGGGTACCCCCCAAACTAGCTGGAGCCTGTACAGGGTCCAAACAATCACTCAGAGTTTAACAGGTTATACCAACTGCCAACATATACAAGCTAATGCTAAAGCTAACAACACAAGGTCGACTGGTAGGGACCACACATCGGTGGTTGTCTGTGCTGTGCTTTTTAAACACTCCCTCACAGTATGGCAGACTTTCACAGCACTGTTAAACTTCAGCTAAAATAGCAGGGGAGAACATACATTAAAGGAGAAGTTTACTCAAAATCCAGAAACTTTCAAGTGAATCCATGCTTTGAAACTAGTTCAGTGGAGTTTGCCCTCTCCCCCTCTTTGTCCCTGTAGTGCTGTACTGAAACGGTTGAAAAAACAGGTCACATGACTTGTGACGTTGCTGGATGCAGACAATTATGTAAAAACATTCCTTACACCAGGATACTTTAACTGGTGACTATCCAGGAGAACAAAGAAAAAGGAGCACAATGTTGCTGCATAAATCTGATAGAATTATTGATGGGACAAGTAAACAATTGGCTCACATTTCGCCATGAATCGTCTTCATTCATTAAGTATCCTGGGGTAAGGAATGTTTTTTGGATTTTCAAGTACCTCAGTCGAGCACCTGATTTCCCCTTTTTTGTTCAAGCTGGGCTGAAGCGCGTTTGGGTATATCTTCTTTCCAATGCAATTATGTAATTTGGGTGAACTATACCTTTAACAATGGGTGGGGTTCTTTAAAAAAATGTATCACCTAAGAGCAGAAACAGCACCATCTAGGAAGTCAGAATCTGGTAATATCAGGACGTAGGATGGGACATAAACCCAACAACTTCAATGACAAATTTCTCTAAAACGGGGAAAAAAAACATCACCAAATTCACTGAGAATACATTACATAGGATGAAGAAAAAATACTCAGAGCCGCAGCTCCATACTACTTGTCAAACAGAGAACTGATAGTATATACTCGTTGTTGGGGTGGGATTGGCGTGGGGTGTTGGGGGATACGTAGATAGCTTTTGACCATTTCTTTGGATTCCTCGATTGGTCCAAATCGAATGTTTGGTACTATATTTATTGAATATTATATGAATCCTATAACATTAATAATTTCTCAGAGATCAAATTATATTTCAACAAAATAATGTTGCAAGAATGCTAATCTTATCTGTTTCTAACAACAGAAACGATTTCAGAACAATCTTTGATGGTGGATGTCGAAATCCTCTTTCTTGTGCTTTTGGGGTGGAAATGCCCTCTTAGATATTTATATATATATTCCATAAACATTATCTGTGCTTTGTTAGATGGAAACACATCCTCAGAGGCAGTGAAAACAGAGCTGTCTAAAGCATGTTCACACTGCTTGGTATGAGGTATCACACAGGGACAACAATAACTGCTCTTATTCCCGCTCTCACCAACTAGGGCATTGGCGAAACCACAAACCCCAACTCTGAGGACAAAGACAACTGATGAAAAAGAAACCAAATGTATTTCAGGCCAACTGGATAAAAATATTTATATTCGGTGAGCTTTTGTATTTCAAACTCTTTAAAAGGAGGCTGAAGCTTGAAACTCCTGAGTGAATACAGTAACACAGTAGAGTTTTTTAACCTCATACACTTCCAAACGTCGACACAGCTAAAAGTGAGATGATGTGTCCTTGCTGAGAGCATATAGGAAACAAATAAGCACACGATACATACTGGGGCGGGAGATCGATAACCTTAATTACAACACAAATCCCAAACACTTCAGCCTCTACTGCTGCTGCCTGCCGCTGCTCCTGTTTCTGCTCGAATGTTCTGGCACATAGGGCCCGGAGCAAAGTCCCTGCACACCAAGCAATTCTGCCCGTAATTTAATGGAGAGATAACTCTAGCGCTTTATCCTGGATATGTATTTCTGAACGATGACGACCTAGGAAAAAACTCCTAAAAGAACATGCACACAGGCATGTGCTGTGCAAGTTGGAAACAGCTCATTGCTGGAGCAGCGAGCAGATACAATAAGGTAATTTATTGGACAGTTTTAAATGTTGAGGAAGCCAACTGAAGATACATTCCATGATCAAAAGTATGTGGACACTTGCTCATCGAGCATCTCATTCCAAAATCATGGGCATTAATATGGAGCTGGTCCCCCCTTTGCTGCTATAAAAGCCTCCACTTTTCTGGGAAGGCTTTCCACTATATGTTGGATCATTGCTGCGTGGACTTGCTTCCATTCAGCCACAAGAGCATAAGTGAGGTCGGGCACTGATGTTGGGCGATTAGGCCTTGCTCGCAGTCAGCATTCCAATTCATCCCAAAGGTGTTCAATGGGGTTGAGGTCAGGGCTCTTTGCAGGCCAGTCAAGTTCTTCCACACTGATCTCGACAAACCATTTCTGTATGGACCTTGCTAATGCACGGGGGCATTGTCATGCTGAAACAGGAAAGGGCCTTCCCCAAACTGTTGCCACAAAGTTGAAAGCACAGAATCGTCTAGAATGTCATTGTAGGCTATAGCGTTAAGATTTCCCTTCACTAGAACTAAGGGGCCTAGCCCGAAACATGAAAAACAGCCCCAGACCATTATTCCTCCTCCACCAAACTTTACCTGCCCCAATGCATAATGCCAACTGTAATGTTCTCCTGGCATCCGCCAAACCCAGATTCGCAGTCGGTGAAGCGTGATTAATCACTACAGAGAACACATTTCCACTGCTCCAATGGCGGCAAGCTTTACACCACTCCAGCCAATGCTTGTGTGCAGCTGCTCGGTCATGGAAACCCATTTCATGAAGCTCCCGAAGAACAGTTTTTGTGCTGACGTTGCTTCCGGATATTTCCAATTCACAATAATAGCACTTACAGTTGCCTGGGGCAGCTCTAGCAGGGCAGAAATGTGGCATCCTATGACGGTGCCACATTAAAAGTCATTGAGCTCTTCTGTAAGGCCATTCTACTGCCAATGTTTCTATGAAGATTGCATGGCTGTGTGCTCGATTTTATACACTTTTTCAGCAACGGGTGTGGCTGAAATAGCCGAATCCACTAATTTGAAGGGGTGTCCACATACTTCTGTATATATAGTGTATCTCTATTGGGGCAAAGAACACACCTGAGACTGCCCATAAATGTTTGCCTGACCAATTTATGTAAAAGCCATAACCTAATAGATTAAACATCAAATCAAATCAAATTGTATTGGTCACATACACATATTTAGCAGACGTTATCGTGGGTGTAGCGAAATGCTTGTGTTCCTACCTCCAACAGTAATATCTAACAATTTGCAACAATACACACTTCTATATACGCCCTCCGCATTTCCATGTCAAACATTAAACAAGAGTGGATAACTCAAACGTCAATTTGAAATGAATAAACTTCAATCAGAGAAATGTGCAAATGCAAATAGCTTATAATCAAACAGGGCTGTCTCCATTCTTAGGGGAATGATGTAGTCAGTATGGAAACTAGGCTATAGGCTATGTTCCATTTAAAGTATGAAGATGCAACTTCTCTATGGCGCTCCGTATAACATAGTAAAAGAGATATTACACTAGAGAATGTTACAAGCATAAAGCATTTGCACACTAGCCATTCCTGGAGATATATATTTCATTTCTTTATTCCATATACATTGGATAACAACCTTTCTACCTAGCTGAATGAGAACATGAATCTTGGGTAGCAAATGAACACAGGCCATACAGTGAACCTGTAAATTCACATGAGCCCCTGTGTGCTTTTGCTCAAATCACTGAGTATATTTTCACTGGAGACAGCCATATCGATTCATCATGAAAATAAAAAATCATGCAGGTTTTCATGTGAATCAACTCCGACGTAAACAAACTCAAGATTTTCACATATCCCTGTTCAATTGGACTTCACCATTCTTTCTACCCATCATTCACTTATGGAACATTTGATGCAAGCCAAAATAATCAAGTAAGCACAGAAAATGAGCATGAGAGCAAGAGATTAACAACAATATTCACAGTTGGGAATACATGGTTGACACTGACATTGAATTACTGTTAATGAGGAGGGGTGGATTTAGTTCATGGTACTATGATGTAATTTGGCCTCTAGGTTTTAATCCTTCCTCTCATATGACCTATTAAGCTCTGCTAGACAGGAGGCACTGGCGTGTAAGCCAGAAACGTACAAACCAGAGACTGCAAATCTACCCTTATTACTTCAGTATCTATGCCCTTTTTTAGGATTCTATGTGAGTTAAGCCATCCCCGTGTCAGGTAAATTCTTGTCATTGGGATGTCTGCTCGCAGAAAGGCGTAAAAACTTTGAAGGCCCCCAAGATAAAAAATATTCTACCAGAAACAAACTTTTCTGACAGAGAATTTACTTTTGCACTGCTTTCAGGCGGGAACGTGGTGCTTTAGAATGCCATGCCAATCAGGCCACGATGAACTGATCAAAGAGCATGGGCAAGATCCTGCGAAGACGCAGTCATTTCCTATCACAAGATTAAAACCCCACAGACAAACACACACACCTAGACAAACTAAGGAGAGGTAGGGGATAGGCTCTAAGCCTGGGAGCATGCCTCTGTATGTCACTCCCTCGGTTTTCAGGTGCTCAGGGAGAGACTGGTGAGTCGAAAAATGTGCAATGAGATTCTAATATATGCTAAACCTCATGCACTTCCAAATTGTACATTTAGGTTCTCCCCCCTGGAGGCTAAATGGACTGCTAAATGGACAGCATCTCCACTTATCTGAATTGGTCATCTCCATTAATTATAGGTAAACACTACTCACTGTCCATATTAGTTCCCCAGTATGCCTTTATACAGCTAATAGCAGATCCAACACCTGCTGCCCAACGACCACTGCCAAGTTTGTCTACTTTGTACACAATATTTATTCTCGTTCAAGTGTCCCTGCCTTGCAACATTTCATTAACGCACACATTTTCCTAAGTAATTTATTTGGCTGGAAGTAATGGAAAAGACCTTCAGCGGAGAATAGCACTCCCCCTTCAAAACAACTCATCAAAAAAGCATGCCGCTCTTAAGTGATATTAGTGATTCACGTTTTCAATTACTTATAATCCTATTTGCATAGAAGAAACAAAGTGGTGGGGGATAGAACACTGAGAATGGGCAATCTTTTTTCCTTTATAAAAAATGGGTGTCAGGTGCTAGGATGCCAGGGGTGAGGGCCATGCGGGGTGAAGGGGGGAAAGAGTTGCCCTCATTAAGGGGCCTCCCTGGCAGGGCTCAACCCAATCAGATATTTGTCCGACCACTTCCACTGTTCCTCTCCAACCAGGTGTGTGGGATGCGCCAACCATGCAGCAGCAACATGCTTGGGCAAGACAAGGAAGGGAGAAAAAAGAGCCAGCATTAATAATGGGCCTGGTAATGGTCTTAACCGTTGACATTGTCTCACACTGCTTCAAACTGGCACAAAAAGATGCCACATCATTGGAAATTCCAGCTTCTTTTTGTTCGCTTGCCTAGTCGTGCTTCTGTATTACCGGCTCCAACTGAGCACCCCACAAAAGAACAGGCTGTGAAAAGTAATAACGG